TTTTTTTTTTTTAATAAAGACGGGGTTTCACCATGTTGGTCAGGCTGGTCTTGAACTCTTGACCACAGGTGATCCGCCTGCCTTGGCCTCCAAAGTGCTTGGATTACAGGCGTGAGCCACCACACTCTGTCGCCCTCTTGTTGCCCAGGCTGGAGTGCAGTGACCACATCTCGGCTCACTGCAACCTCTGCCTCCCGGGTTCAAGCTATTCTCCTGCCTCAGCCTGCCGAGTCGCTGGGATTACAGGCGCGTGCCACCAAGCCTGGCTAATTTTTGTATTTTTAGTAGAGACAGGGTTTCATCATATTGGCCAGGCTAGTCTGGAACTGTTGACCTCAGGTGATCTGCCCGCCTCGACCTCCCAAAGTGCTGGGATTACAGGCATGAGCCACCGCGCCCGGCTGAGGTAAAGTCCTTAAAGCACTCTGCATCAGTATGGGTGTAATGAATGATGGCCTGCCTCTTAATTTATCAGATGGCAAACTGAGGCTGTGGGCACTTAAAGACACCTAGCATTTCCTAACGCACTGCTCTCCTGGGTGCGCTGGCGGCAACCTGCGGCCTCCGATCGTGAGCTGAGCCACTGGCCGGAATCTGCTGCTGGGCAAATGCACTCGCTCAGACTCGACTTCTCCCTCTAGGTCGCCGCTCCGGGGCAGGTCCCTTCGCGACCTCAGATCTGGGCCGAGCAGGGTCCCGCGGAGGCGCCAAAGTGGCGCAAGGCCTCCTGCGGCCCAGGGTCCGCAGCTGACCTTAGCGAACGCGCGCTAGGGCAGTTGTGTCCAGTGCTGGGAGGGAAACGGCGGAAGGCGGGGAGCGCCCCCGGGAGCCCAGAGCGGGGCCTGGAGCTCCCACGGGGCTAAGTTCACCGGTGTGGCCGCGTGGCCAATGAGCGCGCTCTGTGCCCGACGGTGCTCCGCCTCGCGGCCCCCCCACCCTCTCGCCGCGCACTCTGGATCCCGACGCGTCCTGACCGCACGGGTGGCGCGGCTACGGGCCGCGGGGGCCATGGTGCGCGGCAGGATCTCCCGGCTCTCGGTCCGGGACGTGCGCTTCCCCACGTCGCTCGGGGGCCACGGCTCGGACGCCATGGTAAGCGCGGGCTGCGGCCAGAGTCCTTCCCGCTCCGCCGACTGCAGACCCGCGGGTCCAGGGAGCTTCCAGACTTTGGACCCAATGCTTCTGTAAAGTGGGAGGCGCGCCTGGGGGAGACACTCGCTTTTCATGTCTTGGAGCAATAGTCTAAGTATCCAGAAACTTTCCACTCTCCAGGGTTTTCTCTTTGCTACAGTTTAGAATATCCTGATTTTACGTTTACGACTCACAGTTTGCTGGAAATGCAGTATTAGAATGCAAGAGCAGCAAAATGATTTTGTTGGGGTCCCTCCAATGAAACCTTAGATCACAGCGCTCGCTGGCTTCTTCTGTACCCTGAACGCAAGGTGGTTCACGTTGAGGGAGAATGGAAAGCCCGGGGCTGGGAGTTTTGAGTGGTGACCCGTCTATGAAATGAAAGTGTCATGGTCGGGTTGAGAAACCAAGCGAGCGATAACTGGGTCACATGAGAGGGCGCTCTCATGAAATTACCCGCAAACATGGTTAGAAAGGATTGATGCGAATGTCGGTTAGTCTTAAGAGATGTAATAAAGTAACGGCAGGGACTTTGACGCCTACCTAAATAGCGAAGGTCTTTTTTGCTTACCGAGGATGTTAGAATGTCAGGCCTTCCCTCTCCTCCCCAGTCTAGAGCGGTGTTTCCCAAATTCAGTGGAGGAGTTCTGTGCAGGGTCTTCAGGGCGCCTGTTCCCCACTGGGTCCTCACTGCCCACCTTGGTCCACTGATGAGATTGGCCACGCTAGAAAAGCAGAATTGTATGGGTATGTAGAGAATGTGTGAAAATTTTCCGGGAAGTGAGGAACAGCAATGTTAGGAAAATGGTTACCAGTAGGGAGGAAAGGAAATAGTGTCACAGAGGGTACCAAGAGGTCTCTAATTCCCACTGTAATGTTTTACTTACTAAATTGTGTGGATTTCAAGCTGGTGTTCATTACATTATCTGTACTCTTTTTGTACCTGAAATGTTTTATAACAATAGACCTCTCGTTAAATAAAGATATTATATGCAAAAGAATGCCCTTTTTGAGATTAAGTTCATCCTGCATTTTAAACCTTTTTTAAAAATAAATTAAAGAACTTAAATTTTGCCCTGATCATTTATTTATTTATTTATTTATTTATTTATTTATTAAGAGACAGGGTTTCACCATGTTGGTCAGGTTGCTCTCGAACTCCCGACCTTAGGTGATCCACCTGCCTCAGCCTCCCAAAGTGCTGGGATTACAGGTGTGAGCCACCGTGCCCGGCAAAACTTTTTATTTTATTTTATTTTATTTATTTATTTTGAGTCAGGTTGTCTTATCTGTCGCCCAGGCTGGAGTGCAGTAGTGCTATCATGGCTCACAGCAGCCTTGACCTCCCTGGCTCAAGGAGTCCTCCCACCTTAGCCTCCCAAGTAGCTGGGACTACAGGTGTGTGCCATGACACCCAGCTACTTTTTGTATTTTTTTTTTTTTTTTTGAGACGGAGTTTCACTCATGTTACCCAGGCTGGAGTGCAATGGCGCGATCTCCGCCTTCTGGGTTCAGGCAATTCTCCTGCCTCAGCCTCCTGAGTAGCTGGGATTACAGGAATGCACCACCATGCCCAGCTAATTTTTTGTATTTTTAGTAGAGACGGGGTTTCACCATGTTGACCAGGATGGTCTCGATCTCTTGACCTCGTGATCCACCCGCCTCGGCCTCCCAAAGTGCTGGGATTACAGGCGTGAGCCACCGCGCCCGGCCTTTTTTGTATTTTTTGTAGAGAAAGAGTTTCAGCATATAGCCCAAGTGGCCATCCTCCTTTTAAAAATCTTCATATGTCTTTTCTTATATGATGTGGTACATTACTTAAACACCCAGTAGGCAATCCTTTATGGAACTCAAAATAAATGTTTGAAATTTTACTGGCTTGTAGAATCAAAACATTCAGTCTCATGCAACTGCCTTTGCCTCCCTTAGGCTTTAGCAGCTGTGGGTAAGTCACACAATCTTTCTAAGCCTAGGTTTTCTCATCTGTAAAATGGATATAATAATATTCACTTTAAACATGTAAATGACATACCTATAAAGAGCTTGGCTCATAGAAGGCCCTCAGTAAAGTTAGTTGTAGGCCAGTCGTGGGGGCTCACACCTGTAATCCTAAGCAGAGGCCTAGGCAGGAAGATCACTTGAGCCCAGGAGTTCGAGGTTACAGTGAGCTATGTTGTGCCACTGCACTCCAGCCTGGGCACTGGATGGCAGAGTGAGATCCTGTTTCTAAATAAAAAAAGGAGGGGTTGGCTGTAATTACTATTCACTATGAGGAAACTGAAGCCGAAGGAACCCCTAATCTAGACTTGACTTTGAATTAAGTGTTAAAACAGCCTGGTTTGGCTGAATGTGGTGGTTCAAGCCTATAATCCCAGCACTTTGGAAGGCCAAGGCAGGTGGATCGCTTGAGCCCAGGAGTTCAAGACTAGCCTGAGCAACATAATGAGACCTTATCTCCACAAAAAAATACAAAAATTATCTGGGTATAGGTGCACGCACCTGTGGTCCCAGACACTCAGGAGGCTGAGGTGGGAGGATCTCTTGGGCCTGGGAGGTCGAGGCTTCAGTGAGCTATGATTGTGCCACTGTACTCCAGCCTGGGCGACAGAACAAGATCCTGTTTCAAAAGCAAGCCTGGTTTGCTGTAGAATAATTTAAGAAATGGAATTTGCCTCTGGGCCTGAGTGGTGTCTAACACAGGGTGAGGAGATATTATTTAACGCCTGTATTTGCAAGCTCATAAATACTTAAGCATTTGTCTTGGGGAGAAAGGGCATATGTTGTGTGCCGACTCCCAAGTGCCTTCTTACTAGGATGAGCTGCTTTGAAGTTCACCCTGGGGATGGCTTCACGTGTTTTGGAGGCATGCTGGACCATCAGCACTTAGCAGCAAAGTGATGCTCCCTGATCACAAGTAGGATATTTTCAAGAAAGAACAATGAAACTGTCCTCAAAATCTGCTAAAGATTCCTCCTTTTTTTTTTTTTTTTTTTTTTTTTTTGAAACAGAGTCTCTCTTGTCACTTAGGCTGGAGTGCAGTGGTGCGATCTCAGCTCACTGCAATCTCTGCCTCTTGGGTGCAAATCTCGTCCCTCAGCCCCTGGAGTAGCTGTGATTACAGGTGGGCACCACCATGCTTAGCTAATTTTTGTATTTTTGGTAGAGATGGGATTTCACCGTGTTGTCCAGGCTGTTCTCGAATTCCTAAGCTCAGATGCCTCAGCCTCCCAAAGTGCTGGATTACAGGCATAAGCCACCATGCCGGGCTTACTTCTTCCTTAATCTGAAATCTACCTCTGTTCTTTTCTTCTCTGTGAACTGCCCTTGTTATTTCTGTTTATGCTGTGTTTTCCGCTGTCAGCCACCTCCTCTTTGTGGGCTCTCTCCCCAAGTGGCCTCCTGCCTTTCTGACCCCTCCTTCTTCCTCCACCGGCCCCTTCTTCCCTCTCTGAGGCTCAGGCCTCAGTGTCTTCCCCATCTCCCTGCACACTCCCACAAACACCCTCTCAGCATTCTGGTTTCTGTTTAGCCCTTTATGCCGGAGTCTCCCAGATCTCATTTCCAGATCTGCCTCCTTAACTCACAGGTCTGGATACTTCCTGTTGGGTTTTTCACCTTCATTGCTAAACATGGTTTGTCTAAATCAGAGGTCATCTTCCATACCCTGCTGCCCCTCCCTCCTGACCCATCTTGGCTCATTCTGCTGGTCACAGGGACTCAAAAGCTTCAAGTCACTTTTGGCTCATCTCATCCTGTTGACCCTCATCTGAGGCTTCAGTGAAAGGTTTCCTTTTCCCATTGCTTCCTCTTCTTGGAACCCAGAAACTGCCAATGGGTCTTTAATTCTTAGAGTCTCCTCCTCAGCCTTATCACTCAACTCCTTCAGGGACCCAGTGGCTTGGTCAACCCAGGATGGGCACCAACCCTTGAGTACACTCCAGTCTCTCCCTCTTCTGACACCTTTACTTTCTGCATTGCTGCTGCTACCTCACCTTAGCTATTCCTCCCTCCCAGACCCTTCACTCCCCTTCCCACTGCTGAGAAGCTCCCCTTCCTTGACTGGCCAGCTCAGATTCTGTCTTTATCATAAAACCTTCTCCTGCTTCAAGAAGAACCTTCAGGCAGGGCGCAGTGGCTCACACCTGTAATCCCAGCACTTTGGGAGGACAAGGTGGGCGGATCACCTGAGGTGGGGAGTTCGAGACCAACCTGACCTATGTGGAGAAACCCTGTCTCTACTAAAAATACAAAATTAGCTGGGTGTGGTGGTGGGTGCCTGTAATTCCAGCTACCCTGGATGTTGAGGCAGGAGAATCACTTGAATCTGGGAGGCGGAGGTTTCGGTAAGCCGAGGTAGCACCACTGCACTCCAGCCTAGGCAACAAGAGCAAAACTCCATCTCAAAAAAAAAAAAAAAAAAAAAGCACATTCAGCTGACAGTGCTCTCTTTCCATTGCTCATAGTTTACATCTCTTCCAGGTCTTAGCATCATCTCCCTTATATTATTAGAGTTTTTGTAACCATGTCTTTTATTTATTTATTTTAGAGATGGGGTCTTGCTTTGTTGCCCAGGCTAGACTCAAGCTCCTGGGCTCAAGCAATCCTCCTGTCTTGGCCTCCCAAAGTGTTGGGATTACAGACATGAGCCACCATGCCCATCCTATAATCAGGTCTTCTCAAACGTAACCTTCTCAAAGGTATTCATATCTGTAACCCCCTAGGAAGCCGCAGCAGCTTTGAGATGTAGTTGGTGCTCAGCGATGCATCACACTGATTTCCTGCCACTGGGCTGTGACACCAGACTCAGGGCTCCCATCCATCACTTACAGCTTCCTCAGCCACAACACCCCCAATACAGGGATTTAAAATCTGCCTTCATAATTTACTTGTGGCCAGGTGCAGTGGCTCATGCCTGTAATACCAGTACATTGGGAGGCCGAGGCAGGTGGATCACTTGAGGTCAGGAGTTCAAGACCAGCCTGGCCAACATGGTAAAACCCCATCTCTACTAAAAATACAAAAAAAAAAAAAAAATTAGCCAGGCATGGTGGCAGGTGCCTGGAATCCCAGCTACTTGGGAGGCTGAGGCAGGAGAATCACTTGAATCCGGGAAGCGAAGGTTGCAGTGAGCCGAGATCATGCCACTGCACTGCAGCCTGGAGGACAGAGTGAGACTCAGTCTCAATAATAATAATAATAATAATAATAATAAAAACATAGTTTTACTTGTAGTGTGACCTTCTGCAAATTACTAAACCTCTTTAAAACTTCTCTATTAGGGATAAGAGCACCTAGTTTATAATACTGTTATAGGATTTAATTAACTATGTAGAACTCTTAAAATAGTGTGTCTGGCACAATATTATAGAATAATAACAACAGTAATAAATCATCTTAGCCTTACACAAAATTCCTGAACCTTTGGCTTATTCAATTTGAAGCTGCTTATGAATGTAACTTTGTTCAGAGAGCTGACAGATAACTTCAAGTGAAAGCTCCTTGACTTAAAATTGAGCTCCTTCAAAGCGCGATGGCTCTGGCCTGTAATCCAGCACTTTGAGAGGCCTAGGCGGGTGGATCACTAGAGCTCTGGAGTTTGAGACCAGCCCGGGCAACATGGCAAAACTCCATCTCCATTCTTTTATTAAAAAATAAAAATAAATACGTAAAATTGAGCCCCAATTTTTGACCTAATTGAAAACAGGTATAAAAAATGTATGCATTGTGGCAGGTGTGGTGGCTCACACTTGTAATCCCAACACTTTGGAAGGCTGAGGCAGGCAGATCACAAGGTCAGAGTTCGAGACCAGCCTGGCCAACATGGTGAAACCCCATCTCTACTAAAAATATAAAAATCAGCTGGCTGTGGTGACACGTGCCTGTAATCCCAACTACCCCAGAGGCTGAGGCAGAAGAATCACTTGAACCCGGGAGGCGGAGGTTGCAGTAAACCAAGATTGCACCACTGCACTCCTGCCTGGGTGACAGAGCAAGACTCCATCTCAAGAAAAAAAAAAGTATAAATTGTGCTTGTTGAAACACTTTGGATCTTTCGGGAGCACATTCCTTTTCTCCATTTTTTGGGGGTGTATAGCAACAGTTCCTTCCGTGGGAGCTCTGCATTGTCTGTCCTCATGTGATGTCATTCTCAATGGTTCTTTTTGGTTTCTCACGCTGGCATTGTTTCTGTCGGGAACTGCTCTCCTGCAGCACACGGACCCTGACTACTCAGCTGCCTATGTCGTCATAGAAACTGATGCAGAAGATGGACTCAAGGGTTGTGGAATCACTTTCACTCTGGGAAAAGGCACTGAAGTTGGTGAGTTGAAGATTCTCTCAAGGTTCCAGAATGCTTAATTTTCAGATGAGATTCTACTTTAGATTCTTAGATGCATTAGAATCTTCATTGAGATTCAGTTCTTGACCTTGTTTTTCTCTGTATTTACACTGCTCAAAGTGAGTAAAAACAGTGTTTCATGGCTGGTTGTTTATTTCACTGAGAGAAATTTAAAAATGGCAGGATTTGACCTGTCTCCTTGCAATCATCTCTAGCCTGCTAGAAAATACTTGGTTTTTAGTCTGTTTCTCTGTGTCAAATGACAGCTACAAGGATGTTTTTTACCTGCCTTTCACCCAGGGCCACTGTCCAGCTTTGGCAACCTGAAGTGGACGAGTAAACAAGGGTAATGAGAGGGAGGAGACATGAGTTCCCATAACAAGGCTCGTTGTGATGTGCACAGCAAGTCTATTCACTTTTCAAGATATATATAGATCTATCTATACATATATATATATATATTTTCTTTTTCTGAGACAGAGTCTTGCTCTGTCACCCAAGCTGGAGTGCAGTGGCGTGATCTCAGCTCACTGCAACTTCTGCCTCCTGGGTTTGATTCTCCTGCCTCAGCCTCCCAAGTAGCTGGAATTACAGGCACACACCACCATGCCTAGCTAATTTTTGTATTTTTAGTAGAGATGGGGTTTCACCATGTTGACCAGGCTGATCTCGAACTCCTGACCTCAGGTGATCCACCTGCCTCAGCTTCCCAAAGTGCTGGGATTACAGGTGTGAGCCACAGTGCCTGGCCTTTTCAAAATATTTCACACCAAGTTGGTTTTAAGTTCACTGTTTTCATGGCAGAAAAGGGCTTTGGCCCCGCCCAATTTTGAGGTCTCCTTTGCGGAAGAACAAATTCTTAAGACGCATACTGAGCCATGTATATGTCATTCTTTTATTTTTATTTTCTATTTTCTTAAACAGAAGACACAGAACATAACTTTTTTCAGAGCTGATGTGATCTCAGTGGTGATCTTGAGTCACCTCATTTTTTACAGAGAAGAAAACTGGAGCCCAGGCAGCTCCCCGGCAAGTCATGGCAGAACCGCCTGACTGCCCAAAGCACTTTCTCTACAGAACTTTAAATGCAACTCTTTTTGAATACATAATACCTGCACATGGTACAAAATCAAGAAGCATAAAACAGTGACCTCCGCCAGATCAATTTCAATGGATTATTAGGTGCTGAAGCCAAATTATGATAGATTGAAGAGTAAGGGTCTGGAAGGAGGAGGGAAAGAGTTTCTCTAACTTTAGTGGTTGTCTGCTACCTCTCCCATGGATATTTGCACTAGCAGTGCTCTCAGTAGTTGTAGAAAAAAAAAATCTTGGCCCATTGAGAGATTTTAAATTGTTAAGCATGTAAAAGAAGTGTGTGAGTTTGTGAGTGTGTGTATGTGCGAATCGCAAGGGTCTCTTCCTTGAACTTTCAGGGGACACTGCCCTTGTGGCTGCTGTTTCTGCTCTTCACAGGGCTGGCGGCGAGTCATCCAGCAAGTCAGTCCTTCTACAGACTTACACGGTGCTGCCATGCATTAGGCATGCTGCCAGGCACTGAAGTAATTTTTAAAAGAGATAGGCTGGGTGCAGTGGTTCACGCCTGTAATCCCAGCACTTTGGGAGGCTGAGGCGGGTAGATCACTTGAGCCCAGGCGTTTGAGACCAGCCTGGTCAACATAGTGAAACCCTGTCTCTACTAAAAATACAGAAATTAACTAGGTGTGGTGATGTGTGCCTGTAATCCCAGCTACTCAGGAGGCTGAGTCATGAGAATTGCTTGAACCTGGGAGGTAGAATTTGCAGTGAGCTGAGATCGCACGACCGCACCCCAGCCTGGGCGACACAGTAAGACTCCGTCTCAAAAAAAAAAAAAAAGATAACATAGAATCCCACATACAAGGAGCACACAAACTTATTGGGGAAGTAGACATAAAAGTAATGATCATAGCACAGTCTGAGAATTACTATTTTTAAAAAGTACATGCAAGTTACACAGAGAGAAGATATATTAGGTTGTTCTTTTTTTTTTTTTTCCTTTTTGGAGACAAGAGTCTCATTCTGTTGCCCAGCCTGGAGTGCAGTGGTGCAATCTCAGTTCACTGTAACCTCCACCTCCTGGGTTCAAGAGATTCTTGTGCCACAGCCTTCTAAGTAGCTGGGATTACAGGCGTGCACCACCCTGCCCAGCTAATTTTTGTATTTTTAGTAGAGACGAGGTTTCACCATGTTTGGCCAGGCTGATCTTCAACTCCTGACTTCAGATATCTGCCTACCTTGGCCTTCCAAAGTGCTAGGATTACAGGTGCAAACCACCATGCCAACCCAGGCTGTTCTTGTGTTGCTATAAAGGAGTACCTGAGACTGGGTGATTTATAAAGAAAAAGAGATTTAATTGGCTCACGGTTCTGCAGGTTTTACAGAAAGCATGGTGCGGGCTACTTAGCTTCTAGGGAGGCTTCAGGACACTTACAGTCGTGGTGGAAAGCGAAGGGGGAGCAGGCACATCCTGAGTTGAAAGCAGGAACAAGAGAAAGAGAGTGGGGAGGGGCTACACGCTGAAGCCCCAGATATCACAAGAACTCACTCACTATCTCAAGGACAGTACCAATGGGATGGTGCTAAACCATTCATGAAAAATCTATCCCCATGGTCTAATCACGCCCCCCAGGCCCCACCTCCAATATTGGGATTATATTTCAACATGAGATTTGGGCAGAACATCTAAACTATATCAGTAGGTAACTTCACTCTGTCCAAAAGGCTCAGGGAAGGTTTCAGAGCAGAAGTAATGCTTTGAGGTGAGTCTCAAAGAACAAACAGGAATTTGCCAGGCAGAGAGAGGAGAGTCAGTGCCCCTTTTCCCCATTCAGTAGACAATTTACTGTTAAAGTTTTCCCCAAAGTGGTAACCACTTACTAAGATAGAGCTGTGAGCTGCATTTCTGCTTATTCTGCAATGTTGATTATCCCTTGTTTATAAGTTGAGTCCTTTATGAAGCTGCTGTCTTTCTCCATACTGCAAACCCTACAGCACAGCCCCCAAAGGTTGCATAAAACTCAGTGAGCTTATAAGATATGTTAGACAGGCCTTTGAACCCACTCTCTGTTAACAGCCAAGACTTTAAACTTTGCTGACTTCCCCAAGTCAGCACACATGGAGGGGCCCTGAGCACCAATACAGATAAAAGCTCTTCTGGCTGGGTGCAGTGGCTCACCCTTATAATCCCAGAACTTTGGGAGGCATAGGCAGGTGGATCACCTGAGGTCAGGAGTTCAAGACCAGCCTGGCCAACATGGTAAAGAAACCTCGTCTCTACTAAAAATACAAAAATCAGCTGGAGATGGTGGTGGGTGCCTATGATCCCAGCTACTCAGAAGGCTGAGGCAGGAGAATAGCTTGAACCTGGGAGGTGGAGGTTTCAGTGAGCGGAGATCACGCCATTGCACTCCAACCTGGCAACAGAGTGAGACTCCATTTAAAAAAAAAAAAGAAGAACCCCTTCTGGGATGGGTGCAGAGCTCACTGTAGGGCCTTCACTCACCCTCCCCACCTCCATTCCTAGCCCCACACGGCTGTCTTAGTTAATGTCTCAGGCAGGGATAAATCAATTTCCATCTCTCCCCTTTAAGTGATGTCTGTTTTGTGCTAAGGTTTTTGGCTTCCGCCTTTTTCAGACCACAACACGACAGAACCCATTTTAACTTTAACCTTGCCACATATTTCCAGTGATTCATTGCAGTCTCACAAGATGTGTTACCTAGCACTCATATTAGCTCATCCTGGTTCTTCTGCAGCCTTTAACAGCTTACTTACCTAATCATCTGTTATGATTTTTAAAAAAATAGAGTTTCTTTTATTACTGTGAAGAGAGTGCTTGTGTGTGAGAGAGATAGAGAAGGAGGGCTGTTTTTCAAATATATAGGATACACCAATGTAGTATATATAGGATACACCAATGTAGTTTTTGGTTCGGTATTTTTTTTAAAGTCATGTCTTTATTAAATTTGGTTAATTAATATTCATTTTTATCCTTCTTTCTTTATGTTTTTAAAGTTTTTATTATTTATTAATTTATTTGAGACATGGTCTTGCTCTGACACCCAGACTGGAATACAGTGGTGCAATTACAGCTCATGCAGCTTCAACCTTCCAGACTCAAATGATTGTCCCACCTCAGCCTGCTGAGTAGCTGGGACCACAGGCACAAGCCACCTTGTCTGGCTTATGTTTTGTTTTCTTTCTTTTCTTTTTTTTTTTTTTTTTGAAAAACGGAGCCTTGCTCTGTTGCTGCGCAGGCTGGAGTGCAGTGGTGCAATCTTGGCTCATTGCAACCTCTGCCTCCAGTGTTCAAACAATTCTCCTGCCTCAACTTCCCAAGTAGCTGAAGCTATAAGCGTGTGCAACCATGCCTAACTAATTTTTATATTTTTAGTAGAGACAGGGTTTCACTATATGTTGGCTAGACTGGTCTCGAACTCCTAACCTCAGGTGATTCGCCCACCTTGGCCTTCCAAAGTGCTGGGATTACAGGCATTAGCCACCACACCTGACCTAGGTTTTTTCTTTTTCTTTAAATTTTTTTTTTTTTTTTTTGAGATGGAGTTTTACTCTTGTTGCCCAGGCTGGAGTGCATGGCATGATCTCTGCAACGTCCACCTCCCAGGTTCAAGCAATTCTCCTGCCTCAGCCTCCCAAGTAGCTGGGACTACAGGTGCCTGCCACCATGCTGGGCTAATTTTTGTATTTTTTGTAGAGACAGGGTTTTGTCATTTTTGCCCGGTTGGGTGTTGAACTCCTGAGCTCAAGCAATCTGTCCACCTTGGCCTCCCAAAGTGATGGGATTACAGCAGGCATGAGCCATGACTATGCCTGTCCTTTTTTTTTTTTTTTTTTTTTTTTTTTTTTCTGAGACAGAGTCTCACTCTGTCGCCCAGGCTAAAGTGCAGTGGTGCGATCTCGACTCACTGCAGTCTCCGCCTCCTGGGTTCAAGTGATTCTCCTGCCTCGGCCTCCCGAGTAGCTGGGATTGCAGGCACATGCTATCACGCCCGGCTAATTTTTGTATTTTTAGAGACGGGGTTTCATCATGTTGGCCAGGTTGGTCTCCAACTCTGACCTCAGGTGATCTGCCTGCCTCAGCCTCCCAAAGCACTGAGGTTACAGGCGTGAGCCAGCATGCCTGGCCTTTTTTAAAAAAAACTTAATTTTTTTAGAGTAGTTTCAGGTTCACAGCAAAACTGAATGGAAATTTCAAAGATTTCCCACATATCCCTGTCCCCACACAGGCACAGCCTCCCTCATTATTAAAATTCTGCCCAGAGTGGCCCATTTGTTTCAACTGATGAACCTGCATTGGCACATCATGATCACCCAAAGTCTGTAGTTTACAATAGGAGTCACTCACTGTTGTATATTCGGTGGGTTTGGACACATGTATAATAATATGTACAATGTAGGCTACGTTTTTTTTTTAAATATAGAAAAATAGCCGGGCGTGGTGGCTCAAGCCTGTAATCCCAGCACTTTGGGAGGCCGAGGCGGGTGGATCACGAGGTCAAGAGATCGAGACCATCCTGGTCAACACGGTGAAACCCTGTCTCTACTAAAAATACAAAAAATTAGCTGGGCATGGTGGTGCGTGCCTGTAATCCCAGCTACTCAGGAGGCTGAGGCAGGAGAATTGCCTGAACCCAGGAGGCGGAGGTTGCGGTGAGCCGAGATCGCACCATTGCACTCCAGCCTGGGTAACATGAGTGAAACTCCGTCTCAAAA